ATAAAATATATATAAAAAAGAGAGAACATATCCACGTCCATTGTAAAATTTAGGATGCCTTGAACAGAGTCAACTGTGTAGTTTAGCTTGAAAGGGATCATATTTACACCTTTTGATGGAAGAACATGAACAACCTGTAAGAAACTATCTGTATTAAGCTCTAAGAAAAAGAATCAACAATGGATAATGTTAATGATCAAAGGTTCGGATAATCTATTTTGTTAATTTCCAACTAATTAGCACTAACCTCCATCTCAGCATCTTCTAGATATCCAACAGTAAGCTTTGTAATGTCAACTGAAAATTAATGGATCATCAAGCAGACTGTCTCTTGATGAAAGGTCATCTGGGTCCTTTCCTCTAATGGCATCTAGAATAATTGCACAATCTGTGGCACTTCTGCAGAAAGGGCCAAGCTTATCCTGATAAGAAAATGAACCATAAATTTCTTATATTTACAGTAATAAAGAAAGACATGAATGGAACTCGCAAAGAGAAGACTAGCACTACCAAGCTTTCCGATAAGCTCATTACACCAGTTCGGCCAACTGTGCCGAATGTTGGGCGCAATGCTGTCACTCCACAGCGTACAGCCGGATAGGTCACAGAACCAGCTGTTCCTGATCCAATTGCAAATGGTACCATACCTGTGAAAGCTATCTTGTTTATACACATCGCAATGGCATTGTATAGGATATTAAATATTAAAAAATCGTATAGCCGTTCGGCTATACCGTTTTGACACGTGGCTTTAATCGATAGAGGTTCTTCGTGATTAAAAAACAAAAAGGGAGTACAGCCGAACGGCTATACGCCATTATATTTTTTAAAAGACACGTATTGACAAGTGCCGCCTAATGTTTTTATATTAAAAATAGTATAGCCGGACGGCTATACTCAGTTCTGAAATTTTTTAAAAGAGCCTGTATCGACACTTGGCGCCTAATGGCTGGTGGGTCATTTTTTATATTAAAAAATAGTATAGCAGCACGCGGTTTTTGAAATTTTTTTATAAGCGTATAGCCGCCCGGCGATACTATTTTCAGACATGGGACTACTCCGCTAAAATAGTATAGCCGAACGGCTACTTTTTTTAAAAGAGTATAGCCGCATGGCTGTACCATTTTCAGACATTGGGGCTGCTCTGCTTTTTCCGCGGCTATACGCTTTTGTTTTTTCCTAATTTTCTTTTAAAAAATAGTATAACCAGGCGGCGTTATTGGTTTTTTTTAATATTTTAATTGTCTTTAATAAATAATATAGACAAGCGGCTATAGTCTTTTACATATTTATGCGCACACACACATATATATATATATATACACACATATGTAGGTACGTATTCTTCAACAATACATTCGTGTTCTATACACGTCTCATGTTTTCTTTAAAAAGCAAACATACAATAGTCGTATTGTACATGTATGAAAGTATTTCTAATGTTTTATACACGTATTTCTACAAATGTTTTAGTAAGACACACAAAATTCACGTATTATTCAAATAATTTTCGTATATTATTGAATAAGAATAACATATGGTATAAAAATTATATTAACATAT